CAGGGGAAGATGGTGGGGGGAAGGCAGAGACAAATGTATTTGAAAAAATAAAGAAAATAAATTTTTTAAAAAAAGAAAGAAAACATAATCAATATGTAGAATCTAAGGAGTTTTAGAAGAAAACAGAACTAATATTTTTCATGACCTGAAGTAAAATATTCAGACCCAGAAGGTATAAATATTGACAATGACTATATTAAACATTTAATTATATAGTAATATTATGTCCCATTCTTTATTCCTAATAGTATATTTTGTGCCTTTTTATTTTTCTTCTTTAATTACATTTTATTGACTACACTATTACAGTTGTCCCAATTTTCCCCGTTTGCCACCCTCCAGGACCTCCCATATCTTCAGGCAATTCCCACACCTTTGTTTATGTCCCTTAGTCATGTGTATGTTCTTTGGCTACTCCATTTCCAATACTTTACTATAGGCTATTCTGTATCTACCTATGTACTTCTTAATCCCCTCACCTCTTCACCCATTTGCCAACACCGCCCCCCCCCCCAATCTGGCAACCATCAAAATGCTATCCATATCCATGATTTGGTCTGTTGTTCTTGTTTGCTTAGTTTGTTTTTTAGAGTCATTTGTTGATATATATGTATTTATTGCCATTATATTGTTCATAGTTTTGATCTTCTTTTTCTTATGTAAGTTCCTTTAACATTTCATATAATAATGGCTTGGTGATGTTGAACTCCTTTAGTTTATCTTGTCTGGGAAGCTCATTATCTGTCCTTAGATTCTAAATGATAACTTTGCTGGGTAAAGCAATCTTGGCTGCAGGTCCCTGCTTTTCATGACCTTGAATATTTCTTGCCAGTCCCTAATAGCCTGCAAAGTTTCTTTTGAGTAATCAGCTGATAGCTTTATGGGAACTCCCCTGCAGGTAACTAACTTCTTTTCTCTTGCTGCTTTTAAGATTCTCTATTTTTAACCTTTGGCATTTTAGTTATGACATGTCTTGGAGTTGGCCTCTTTGTATTCATCTTGTTTGGGACTCTGTGCTTTCTAGATTTGCATCTCTATTTTCTTTACCAAGTTAGGGAAGTTTTCTTTCATAATTGTTTCCAATAGATTTCCAATTTCTTACTCTTTCTCTTCTGGCCACTCCTATGATGTGAATTCGTTGGAATACTTGAAATTATTCCAGAGACTCCTTACAATATCTTCATTTTGGGAGATTATTTTTTCTTCTTCTTGTTCTCATTGGTTGTTTTTTGCTTCCTTATGTTCCAAGTCATTGATTCGATTCTCAGCTTCATCCACTCTACTACTGTTTCCCTGTAAATTGTTCTTATTTCAATTAGTGTATCCTTTGTTTCTGACTGGGTCTTTTTTAGGCTGTTGAGGTCCTCCCTAAGTTCCTTGAGCATCCTTATAACCAGTGATTTGAACTATGCATCTGATAGATTGCTTTTCTCCACTTCATTTAGCTCTTTTTCTAGAATTTTGATCTGTTCTTTCATTTGGGCCACATTTCTTTGTCTCCTCGTTTTGGCAGTCTTCCTGTGTTTGTTTCTTTGTATTAGGTAGAGCTGCTCTGACTTCGTGACTTGGTAGTGTGGCCTAGGTATCCTGTACGGTCCAGTGATACAGCCTCCCTTATCACCCAGGGTGGGTACTTGAGGTGCCCTTTGTGTGGGCTGAGTACGTTCTCCTCTTGTAGTTGAGCCCTGATTGCTGTTGGCAGGTTAATGGGAGGAATTTACCCAGGCCAGTCAGCTGCAAGGAACTCTAACCACCAACCTCCACCCTCTATGGAGGATCAGCTGTATAGGGGCAGGGTAGCTGTCGACTAGGATGCACAGGCTCTGGGGTTTCATGGGTGGTACAAACCAAGGTGAGCCCCTTCCTGTGTTCTGCCTGGTGCCACCCTGTCTGAGCTGTAAAGCAATCTGAGATGATTGCTACTTGTGCTGGCCTTGGAGGATCCCAGGCTAAGCAGCAAACCTAGGCTACTGCTATGCCAGGCCTGAGGCCACTTAGCAAGAGATATAGGGGCTGGGGGCTCACTGAGGCTGGCTGTTGTGAGATAATTTAGGAAGTTGTGAAGTATGAGCCAAGACCAGCCATTCATATGGAAAAACCAGTTAACAGCTTGGGTGGGCTGGGAAGTTTGGTGGGTTGGAACCTTAGGGGATCTCCAGGAAGAGGCAAACACTGTTAGCCAGGTCAACAGAGTCTCAGATTTGTCACCTGCCTGCTGGCTCTGTGGCTTCTTGTCGGGGAGGAGGATCTAGAAAAGGAGTAATGGCCACTGCCTGTTTTCTGTATGGGAGAAAGCAGTCCTCCAGCTCTCACCTTGATGCCAAACAGTTCAGTTCCTCCCTGTTTTCCACTGTTGCCATTCCAGCTGCTACCCCAGTGCTGGAGCGCAGAGGGTTGAGTCTGAGTAAGTCTATGGGTGAGTTCTTTAAGAAGAACTGCTTGGGGCTCCAGAAGTTTCTTCCAACAACTCAATCCCCACTAGTTTTTGCAGCCAGAGGTTATGGGGACTTATCTTCCTGGCATAGAATCCTGGGCTGGGAGACCTCACTCCCAAGATATCCATTCCAAATTTTTATCCACCACACATGGGTGAGGGACCAGCCTGTTCAGCATCTCTGCGTCTCCGCGACTCCCACCCGTCTGGATGGATATGGTTTCTTTAGTTCTGTAGTTGTTGGACTTCCATTCAACTCGATTTCTGATGGTTCTATAGTTTAGTTGTAATTTTGATGTGATTGTGTAAGGAGGCGAGCCATGTTTACCAATGCCTCCATTTTGACAAGAAATCTGTCCTTTATTTTCTTGAAGTTTGCCTTATCTTACTAAACGAGATGTAAGAAGACACAGAAAACCTGAAAAGATCTACAACCCTTCAACAACTTGGATCAATAGTTACTATTCTCAGAAGACAAGAGTGTTTAAAGAAATAAATTCCAGCAAATATTGAGGTAATGGGCATTTCCAATCTTACATAAAATTTCTGAGAACAGAAAAAGATAAAATAAAACCCACCTCATTCACCTTGGGACAAAAATCAGGAAACAGTCTTTCCAAAAAAGGAAAATATAGTACTAACTTAGATTAAAAAAAAACTACAGTATTAAAAACTTGAATCCAGCAATGGAAGTATGTTGATTAAGTGGTCACAAACTTGTTTGCCTTTTAGTACTTTAATAACCGTATCTCAGTGTAACTGGTTTGCTGTACAATCCTATATATTTTACTTTATGCATTAAAAGACATTATTTTGAGGGGTCCATAGTCTTCAGACTGCAAAAGGGGTTCACAGCACAAAAAATAATGAAAACCCCTGTACTGAAGAAACTCTTAGAGATATACACTAGGAAACATGTGCAAAAATGTTCAGAGCAGCACTGATTATAATAGCAAATTTGGTACAAAGACAAGTGAGGCTCAATAAACCAAGATATACTCACTAGGTAGATTTTTCTAAAAGTCATTAAAATGAAGGAACTGGAACTATATGTATCAACAAGGACATGTGTCTTAATCTGGGTGCTAGATATATGGGTGTTTGATATAAAACTCTTTGAATGACTAATAGACGTTACACCACAAATCTCCAAGGACACCTTCACCCAAACCACCTAGCTGGAATTAATTCCCCCTTCTAGTCTCCACAGCAATTTCTTTCTCACTCTCTAATTACCATGTTTCTGAATTACATATTTTTCCAGTTGTATTAAGATATAATTGACATATAGCACTATATAAACTTAAAATGCACAACATAATGACCTGACTTACATATATTACTGATTACCACGATATTTAGTTAACATCAATAATCTCGGATAGTAGATTGTATTAAATATAGTTTGTGAATGCCTGATTCCTCAAGGATAAGTTCTTTGAAGGCTAGACAGTACTTTGTTATTCCCATGTTCTCAAAACCATGTTTGTTGAACTCACCTACACCCAGTCTGAAATAAATCCTGAACATGATTTAAAAGCTGTGTTTGCATTATTTAGTATATACACTGATAAAATTTATTATAAAAATAAAACTTCCCATTATATATTTTTACTTTCTATAATGTTATTTTTAATCACAATGAAAAATATAAGAAAATAACTGAACAATGTAAAACAAAATATATTTATTTTAAAGGATTTACATACTTATGTTATATTCAAGTTGGAATGATCATTTCTATTTTTGCACACAGACATACAGAATGATACATGAGTTAACTATGCCCCCTACTGACGAATAAGTATTTTTTGAAAATGAAATAACATTACAGAGAAGAGAGAACATGATCTCTACACAAATGCACAACATAAAAACCAAATGTATCTTTAAAATACAAATAGATTTCAAAAAAAGGACCTTTCATATCTTAAGTATATTTAATATAGAGTTTATTAGAGCAAGGAGGACTAGAGGAAAAAGAGTTGTAATTTTGGAATTGACTGCTGAGAATCCCCATTACACTATTTTAGGAAGCATTGTTCACATTATATTCTATATAAGCGGCCCTCAACCAGGGAATATTTCCAGGGACGTTTGACAAAGTGTAGACACATTTTGGTCAGCACGACATGGGGTGGGTGACAGGGAGGCAGTCGGTGCTACTGGCATCTAGTAGGTAGAGGCCAGGGATGCTGCTAGTCATCCTAAAATGCACAGCACAGTCCCCACAATAAAGACTTATCTTGTCTAAAATGTTAATAGTGTTAAGGTTGAGAAATTTTGCTCTACATGAATATTCCTTCTTGAGTTGTGTAACACGCACCAAAGTCAAATGGAGTACTATGATTTGCTTAAACGTTGTTGAATGTGTCAAAGAAGTTAAATCTCTGACAACAACAACAAAAAACCCAAACAATTTTAGCCCTTTTTATTTGGGCTACAAAATTGTAGTCTAGACAGTTTAGTATGTCCACCTTTTAGCTCTATTCTAGAGATGATACAATCTGTGCATAAACTTTTGATCTGCTAATATTTTTTAAAGCTATTAGGCTTTCCATCATACCTGTGTTTCCATTTCCATCATCCTTTGTTTTATTTCTCTTATTTCTGCCTGTGTTTCTGCTTCTCTAAGTCGAATGGTCATCAGTTCATCTTGTAACTCATTCACAGCATTTTTCTTAGGTGGGTCTTTCCATCTCCCAGTAGTGCGAGCTAAGTGGCGCTAAAACACAAAAAATTATATTGCAACAAGTATTCCCAGTATCAAAATAAGAGCTAACTTTACTGAGCAACTATGTCAGATCCAGTATTATATTAAGCACTTATATATGTTATTTTATTTAATCTCCAGAAAATCTAAACAGGCACTATTATCTTCACTATACAAGTATGAAAATGGAAATTGTGATTAAATAACTTCAAAAAGTTCACACTGAAGATCTCATTGCCAGTAAGCTGCAGATTTTGGAAAATTCAGATATAGTTCAATTTTTTTTATACTGTGAATTACTATGAATACAAATTTTACCCTAAGTTTTTAAATGAGATTTTCCTATTTTTTAAAACAAAATCCGAAGAAAAGGAAAAAACATAGGGTTATTCATGAACTCAGGAAGCAATATTAGAAGTTAAGAGCAGTGTTCTCAAAATACCCATGGTGAAGGTAGGCATATGTTTGTTTTTAATTTTCAGTTTATTGCTTCCTGATACTTTGCTAGATGCATCACCTATCTCAAATTCAAACCAAGATCACTATCCTGAAATGCTGTCTAGTTTTGGTTTTCTTCTCTCTCTTTCCTCTGTCTTACAGATTCTGGTTTTTCATTCCTTGTAAATAGTTTCCTTCATATATGAATAAATTTGTTGGCATATAACTCGCTAAATGTCTGATTTATTTTGTGAGACACCAATTTTCAAAAGAAGTTATAAATTTGTATACAAATTTATATTTGTGTCAGCCTTCTATTATTTCATACTGAAAAATGGATGTGAAATTAACAGAAGAAATATGTATATAAAGAATTATTAAAGTTTTTTCAGAAAAAGTTATATGTTACAATGGTATAAATAAAAATATGAGTTGATCTCTAGTTTATATTTTAATTATAAAAGTTAAAAAAGGGAGAAACAGCCTAAAGATAGTTTCAATTTATAAATGCTCTCAGTTGTAGATTATACAGGGTCTTTCATACTTCAAACTCAATCCTAGGGTTGGTCATCAACTACTTTAAACTCACACAAATTAAATATTCAAGTTGTACCTTCTTTTTAAAAAGTGCACAAAATACATTGATATACCTGCCAGTGCTCCTCTAAATCTCTGACTTGTTGTCTAAGTTCTTTCAAACCCATTATAGCTTCTGCTTCTCTCAGTTTCACAGCAATGAGTTCTTCCTGAAGCCTTGCAATGTTATTCTCATCAGGAAAGGAGTTGTTTCTCTAAAGCAAGAGAAAATTTAATTTTTAAATTTAAAGTATAAAATAAAGCACATAAAATAAGAGCTATTTTGCCCCATATGTAATTATAGTTATTTTTATACTATTTTATTGAAATATAATTCACAAACCGTAAAACTTATCCTCGTAATATATACTAGTCAGTAGTTTTTAGGAGTATTCATAGGGTTGTGGAACCATGATCATGATCTAATATCAAAACTTTTTAATCACCCCCAAAAGAAACCCTATACCCATTACCAGTCAATCCACATTTCCCCTCCCTCCAGAATATCCCCTCCCCCCAGAATATCCCTTCCCCCCAGCCCTAGGCAACCTCTACTGTACTTTCTGTCTCTATGGATTTGCCTATTCAGGACATTTCATATAAACAGAATCCTACAATATGTGGCCTTTTATGACTAGCTTCTTTCACTTGGCATGTTATCAAAGTTCATCCCTTTTTATTGCCAATTTATGTTACATTACATGAATATACCACATTTTATCTATCCACTCATCAGTTGACAGAAATTTGTGTTGTTTCCACATTTTTGGCTAATATAAATAATGCTGCTATGACTATTTATGTAAAAGTTTTTGTGTGGACCTATGTTTTTAATTCTCTTGAGTATATATCAAATAGCAGAACTGCTGAATCAGATGGCAATTCCACATTTAATTTTTAAAAAACTGTCAAACTTTTCCAAAGCAGCTGCACTGTTTTACATTCCCACAGGAATGTGTGAGGGTTAACTACTTAATTTTGAGAATGCAGAAAGTCTAACTCTGATTTGTTTAGTAAAATATTAATCAGTGTTACAAAGCAATAGGAAAAAAATGGTTTCAACACGGCAGTAAGTTGACTAATCTGTGATTAAGACTCCAAATGAATCATAAACATCATTTTTATTTAAAGACTTACAGAAAGAATAGTCTAAAATCTCTGTACATTAGTCACTATTTATGTTAATAGTCACAAAATTAATACCAAGATGATCTAAACATTTGTTTTAAGGGTACAAGATTTAGATTACTCTCCTACCATACTGAAAGGCTCACCTTAGGATATACAGTATCCCTGTATTAAACCACTCTGGGAGTGATCAAGAGATCCTAAATTAGACCTCCAGTAAAAGCTCCTGGGATGGCTATTGCAGCTTGGAAAATTGTAAGTTACACCCAGATGAAATTTTTCCTGAAATATTTATGTATTAATCATATTCAACCTCTTACAGATGAAGATATTACAATATTTGAGGACAAGAGTTAATTTCTATCCCCTAAGTTTCTCTTCTCCAGCATTTAAATAATATTCGTATCAAAATTATCTTGGTTGTTTTCCTCTAAAAGGACTCTTATCTCCATTTTATCCTTAAATATGGGGCTTTGAGTAGTATGGCAACAAGAATAATTGGGAATCTTTTTTTTTCCTGTCCCCTCTCAGTAACTAATATGTAAGGTTTCTAATGTGTAAAAACACCAAGTCCAATTTAACTGCTCAATAAGTACTTAGCAAGTATCTATCACATGTCCTGTCTAATTTGGGTGTAATAGCATTTGTGTTGTTCTCACCTTCTCTAAATCCAGGACTTTATCCTGCATCTCCTTTAGCGCACACTGAGATTCAGCTTCACTCAGGCGGGCTTGAACCAATTCTTTCTCTAGTTGTAGCACAAAATCTTCATTGTAGTTGGAACTGCATTTATGCTACAAATTAGAGAATTATAGACATACACTCAAATTTCATGAAGCATGAACATACAATAGAAATAAATGCAATTGCACAATACAGTGATTAAGGGCAACCAAATAATAAAAGTTCCACCTATCCAACATTTTCAGTATATCTCCTCCAATTAACTTTCCAGTGAATAGAGAAGTCCAGGTTTGATTTCCATAAAAATGATCACATTATTGGGTGTTGGTAACTAGCTATTATACTAATCAAATCAAGTTTACAGAAAATAAGTATCTCCTTATCTTTCTTTCCGTCCAGATACTAAGAATTTGTTCTGACTCTATAGACCTTCACTATACAATAGCAGAGCCATGTGGCTACCAAACACTTGAAATGTAGCTAGGCCAAATAAAGAAAAGCAAAACACTAAATGGATTTTGAAAATATGAAATACAAAAGGCAAAACATATTATTAATAACTTTTATATTGATAACCCATTCAAAGTATAGCTTGCTTGACTGTGGCTGGTAGAATAAGTGAATGTCTTGCATGAGATGGACAGCAATTTGAACATTTCACCGAAAATGTCACATGGTGTGCTTGAATGTGTTATGTTACAGAATTATATGCTTAAGATTTTGTAATAAAAAGAGGCGTTAATTGTGCCAGACCCTGTTTATTGAGTACACTGAGTTAAATAAAAATATTAATGTTACCTGTAATTATTAATTACTACTTTTAATGTGGTAGTTTAAATTCATATGTGCTCACATACTGCTACTGGACAGTACTGTTACAGGCTACAGAAGACAAGTACACGTTTACTGAAAATTCTGTTTTTATCTAATAGAAATAAAAACAAGGGATTCACAATAACATGAACCATACTAAATCTCAGCAGAAAAATGTATTTCCTCTTAGAAATGTAGATCTCTTTAAAGATATGCATGAAAATGATTGCTGGGAGCAGAGAAAAATGCAGATGCTGCATGAACACACTGACCATGGAAGGATGAAACCTTCCTATCTCCCCTCCTACTCTGTAATGTGACCAGTGCGGCCACTTATGAAATCACTTTTAAACCAGTTTCTATACACAAGTTTCTCTAAGAAAGCAAAAAGATATCTAATTCACTACAATAAAAGACTTCCTAAAATAAACTACCACTTCACATTTAATTCATGTAGTACAGAAGAAGTGGCAATTCAAAATTTCAAAATATTTAAAAAGTAAATAAATTAATTTAAAAAAATAAAAAAATAAAATAAAATAAATAAAAAATAAAAAAAAGAAAAAAAAACAAAATTTCAAAATAAAGTCAGAGAAAACTGAACTAGCTGAACTAGCATGAGGAAAGAAAAGTTTCTTTTACTTTTCAGTACATTAGAAACAAAAGAGATGTCAAATTAAAACTCTGTTTAAAAACTATTAAGTGCTCAATTAAAACATATGGTAATCCCTTGCCCCAGTTACCCAAAAAAATGTCATTTTTAAAAAGAAACAGCTTATGAAACAAATGAGGACTTTTTAATTCAATATATTACATATTATTTTCTCCTAGTAATTTTCTATTAAAAGATTTTAATACAAGTACAGCTAAAACAGGTGCATCACTCTAGCAAATACTTACCTTACCAAATAGCGGAAAGGCACTCTTTTGGAATGACCAACTGCAGGTCCCATAATTTTTGTTTAATGATATCATAGTTATTTTATAAATAATACTAGGTTGTTTTGCCCTTAATCTAAAGCCCTGAGAAGTGCCATTCAGGTTTGTTTGCCAAGATTCCATATTAGGAGATCCCCAGGAAATACATCAAACACAAATGGCCCATATGAGAATGGACTCATTGATCTGGTATAAACCAAATGATCCAACCAAGCACCAAAACAAAACAAGACAAAACAAAATGACAACAAAAAAACCCCTAATATTGGAAGATACTTTTTCAATAAAACTTACAAAACTTCTACTTGTCCTCTACTGTTCAAGTGATAAATCCTAAATTCCATAGTTTATACATTATTTCTCATTTCATACTTCCCATTTGTTCCCCCAACACACTGCAAACTAGCTTTAGTCCTTGATAAAACTTCTCTAAATACCAAAAAAACTCAATTAAAGCCATTTTATTCCACTCTTACCTTCACTAGTCAATGACTACTCTTAATTAAAACCTTCTTTCTCATAGATTCTGTTATTCTTCCATGGTTTTCCTATCTTCTCTATCTCCTCTACCAATTATACTTCAAATAGGTGTGTGTGTGTGTATATATATATTTTTATATATATAATCACTTCGTAGTTCTGGGGTTTTAGTATTGTTTTCTCTCAATTTCTCTATTAATCTTATTTTGTAGATCCACCCTACATGATTTCATCCATTGTCTATACAGTCTGTATGTGTAGGCAGTATCAGAAACTGTCTATATGTATCAGGTATTGTCTTTACAGAGTCTACTTAGTGAATGAAATTACCACGGAAAGACCTATAAAATAGCAAAATGGGGACGGAAGGGAAAAGAGACAGGCAGAGGAAGAGAACACATACAATGATGGAACTCTAGGGATGACTGACTGAGAGATAGACACAGATAGGATTCTTAAGTCAATATCTCCAACCCAGATCTTTCTATTAAGCTAGATCCATATTCACAACTTCGTTTTAGTCTTCTGCAACTGGTTGACCTCATAGTCACCTCATGTTCAACATGTTAAAACTGAACTCCCCATCTTTTCCTCCTAATGTATTTACTATTTTGCTAAGAATCCCACCATCTAATATCTGATCAAGTCAAAACTTTCCCTCTTATATTCAACCCATACCATTCAATCACAAAACCTGAGTAACTTTTCTTCCAGATAGCTCCTGAATTTGTCTGTTCCTCTCCATCTTTGCTATCTTTGTTTTTATTCATGCCTTCATCTCTTTCTTTGGATCACTGCAATAGTCCTACATATATCCCCCTCCTGTTACAGCTGTTACAGTAGGTGGGTATCATTAGTTAATATTTTATGTTACCTTTCACACTAAATTGAAATGAACAGAAGGCATTTTTACAGTTCTTCCACCTGGATCCTACTGTTTGGAGCCTAAGGAAGTTTTGATTCCACACTATTAATACAAACATGCTACTGAAAATGATACAAATATTGATATACTTTTAAGTAGTATTCACAATGAATCTAACTCCACGAAGCCAATTTCACCCTGGCCAATAATATTCACATGCATTTTTGTTGGACAAAAAGTATTTTCACTGTAATTAATTCTTAACATTGATATGGTTTCACTATACAGAGGTCCTGCAGCTTAGTATTGCAGCTTGGAGAGTTAGAAAAGGCTCCAGCATTTGTTTAGCTGGTTGACTGAAACATAAACCAAAAGGTGACCCTGGACTGAATGAGTGAACTGAAAATGCTGGCCATACCTTGGGTTTAATGTAGAAGGAAAAATTGCTGACAAAGAAATTTGGGGAAGCTGTATATAAATAGTCCTCTCTGAATGGGCTAAAAACGTGAAGAAATTTGTGTCCAGTGTAAATGCTCCCTGAAGAGTGGGCTCAGTAGAGGATGATTTTAAAATCTGTTGGACGGGATGGCCCATTTTGTGGATACCAGTAAGCCTCCTTCCCAGCTACCCCTGTCATCGCCTAGTAACAGGCTTATGAACAATGTAGCCATGGTGACAGGGGTGGAAGTTGTGCATGTGCTCAGCAACATGGACTTCCACTCACCGAGGCTATAGCTACTACTGAATGTCTAATCTGTCAGCAGCAGAGACCAACACCCAGCCCCTGATATAACACCATTCCCTAGGGTGATCAGCCAGCTTCCTGGTGGAAGGTTGATTACACTAGATGGTTTTCATCATGGAAAGGGCAGTATTTTGTTCTTACTAGAATAGATACTCTGGATATGGATATGTGTTCCCTGCATGCAATGCTTCTATCAAAACTACCATCTATGGAATTACAGAATGCCTTACCCACCAGCCTGGTATTGCACATAGCACTTCTTCTGATCAAGGAAGTCACCTCACAGCAAAAGTGCAATGATGGACACAACCTCATTGAATTTACTCATCATGTTTCCTGAAGCAGACAGCTTGATAGAACAGTGAAATAGCCTTTTGAAGACTCAGTTACAGTGCCAGCTAAGTGGCAATACCTTGCAGGGCAGGAGCAAGGTTCTCCAGAAGTATGAATATGCTTTGATCAGCATCCAATATATGGTGCTGCTTCTCCCATAATAAGGACTCACAGATACAGCAATCAAGAAGTGGAAATAGGAGTGATACCATTCATTGTTACCCCCAGTGACTCACCACCAGCAAGATATCTGCTTTGAGACTTTTTTACCCTGTTGGTCTAGAAATCTTAATTCCAGAGTGAGGAATGCTTCCACTAAGAGAAACAACAATAATTTTACCTAACCGGAAGTGAAGACTCAACTGGCCATTCTGGGATGCTCATGCTCCTAAATCAACAGGCCAAAAAAAGAGTTACGGTGCTGGCTGGGGTGACTGATCCTGACTACTGAGGAGGAACTGAACTCCTATGCCACAACAGAGATTAGGAAAAGTATGGCTGGAATATAGGATACTCTTTAGGGCCTCCTAGTATTATCATGCACCATGATTAAGATCAATGAAATATTATAAAAATCTAATCTAGGAAGGATTACTGAGGGCCCAGACCCTTAACAAATGAAGGTCTGAGTCACCCCCTACCCCAAAAGGTAAAGAACCATGACCAGCTGAGGTACTTGTTGAAAGCAAAGGAAATACAGAGTAGATACTGGAAGAAAGTAGTCAGTCATAAATAAATACTAGCTAATTCCACGTGACCTATTATAGACATCGGGATGGTAATTATCATGAGTAGTTCCCTTTAATTTTGCTATGAATATGTTTGTGTATCTCTGTCTTCTTTTCTTTTACTCCCTTATGTAATATAAGATGCATTAACTTTATATCACAGCACTTACTATTTAAGTATTGTTAATTTCACATCATAATATTTAA